TATGTGTAATTTAGTGTGCTTTTGAACAGAGCCAATCAAGCTGTTTCCCCATCTTTGTGCTAAGCTGAGCCCTTGGCTTTAGCGCCACACTGAACACAAAGACACGAGAGTGGTGTCAGTCTTATCATCTGAACTTTTTGCAAGAAAGCAAATAAAGTGTATTCACCCAAATGTTGAAATATTCCTTTAAACGGTTGATATTTGGAGGTAACCCTCAAGCACTGAAGATCACAGCTCTTCAACAGCAATTAAATGCCTCAACCAATGCAAGGCGTTTTAACACTGTAAATATTTTGTGGCCTCTAATGGTGTGTTTAGACCAAACATAGGTGAATTTTTGAATTGTGTACTTGCACAATTACATCTGTTTGAGTGCCAGCTGTGCTAACAGTTGTACTATCTATCTTGAGAACTCAGCTAATGCTAATGTTAGCGCTAACTGGGTTTGTAGTAAACCAATAGTTGGGATCAAGTGAAAGATAGATACTTTCAGAACTAACCATGTAGTTCTGTGGCTTCCCTCACTATTCTCATAGCCCTCTCCTTTATTGTTCTGTCTCTGCACAGTACTGATGTCAAGTCATAGACTTTTAGGTGCCCACAGACAGTGACGGTAAGTCTGTCCTCCGTTCCTGATTGTCTGTGACCTCAGGAGCGTCTCATTGCCAATAGTGGGGTTACCGTGGTCATGGAAAATCTGGAAGAGTCACAGAATTTCAAATTCTTGTTTTCCACACCTAAGAAAGTTCTGGAATCAGTAAAGTCCTTGAACGTTTTAAAAAAAGTCATAGAATTTGGTTGTGTGTATTGAAATAAATTGTTACAGTAATCTTCCGTGGATAACCTTCCATGTACTGTAACGTAGTGGCAAATTTATTTTCTGTAGCTGTTACATAATGTAGCTCTAATATGTGTCAATCCATTTCTCTTTCCATTTATGTCATTTAGCTAGAATAACATTTAAATGGAGTCTGAATCTGATATGTTTAAATTAGAGGAAAATAATGTTTTGACTTAACATATAGGATTTTGAATCCCAAAGTTTCCATACCCATTTTTGAGATAGAGACATGTTGGCATTGCACCTTGTGAATAGTCACAGAAATTTTATCATAGGTCCTTGAAAAGTCAGGGAAAACTTTGAAATTATGTCCATGAAGATATGTGGGAATTCTGGGAAAGGCTCTCACAACACGGTATCATGCAAATTTTTTGCTGATATTGAAACATTTCTACTTGCGTGGATGTGTACTTGCATCTATTTGCTTTGCCCAGCGTGAATTTGCACATATCTATGTCTCTGTGTTGAAATTAACTCTGCATTCGGTCTGAATTTAACTTACCGTAACCTTAACTCTGCATGGTTATCGATTTATTTCAGATTTGGGCTATGAGTGTTTTTAGTGCAGTCATGTTGCTGCAAAATTGTTCAGATAGAAGCCAATTTTCAACCCTCAGCACTAAATACAGCACTCAGAAAACCTAGTGTTTTACACTGTGCAGCTGCACACTGATATTATAGTGAGGGAGCCCTGTATGCCGCAGAGACACAGTGCACTAAAAACACACAATGCTCTCAATCCCTTGTACTGGATCTACAACTTGCCCTAAATAACACATGGTACAGGTCTCTTAATTGGGTTCTTTGTTTAAATTCAAAGTATATATTTAATATAATACTTTTAAAGAAGACGTTACTGCACTTTTTAGCGGGTACTAAAAGGTAACTGCATTAATTATCTAAATTTTAGTGTCAAAAAACAGCAACAGCACAACTTAAGATCTAAAAATAGTATCTTTATATGCTTGTATTTTCTCTAAGAGTCTTTTTTTGCTGTTTGAGCACTAACTAACATTATACTGGGACAAGATGCAAACACCGTGTTCCACTTACGGTCTCATTAGTGTGAGAGAGGAAAAGGAAAAATAAACATGGGAAAGGATGGAGGGTGACGGGTGGAAGTGTTCGGGGGGAATGCTGTCTGGACTATTTGCATTCAGCTCTTGTGGGTATGATAAAGAGGTGTGTTATGAACATGTAACCTTGTTGGCATCGATCATGCTGCTCGCCTGTGCAGCGTTGATTGGAGGAGACCTTTCAACACAATGCTCATACGTCAGTGCTAAGTGGATTATTAAGTCATGGACCTATGTAGGCCTCTCTGTCTCCTCTCTGCAGTGCATACTGTGTACTGATACACAGATCATGCAGCAAAACACATACATTATCTATACTTTTGATCAGTGGAAACATAATCATTTATCTGGTAGTTGTAATCATCTGAATGTCTTAAAGAATAGCCTGGTTAAAAGAAAAGATTAGATAAACCTGTATTGATTCCCAAATGGGAAATTCAGGTGCTGCAGTCAGCAGATTTATTGTCAGCAAATCCCGTAAAAGGACCAAAACCAGTCCAGCCCTCAACACCTTCCTTATCTATAGCACTTAAGGCAACAGCATCCTTAAAAGAAGTTCTTGTTGAATCATCAAACAGCGTCTGAAACCTGTCACAGCAGTTGTTGTAACTATCTGAAACTGCCAATACAACAAGCACAGCCTCTTCAAGCCACAAAAGAATTTGGTGTTTTAGTCAGGTGCACTGATGTTATGCTGAGTGAACTCATTTCTTATTTCAGCACAGTAACATCAGTAACAACTACTGAAAGACTTAAAAACTCATAATAATCTGTTCAACTGTAGAAAGTAAGTCAGCATCAGCATTTTTACAGTGAGGGTTTGAACGTCTCCATAAAGCTCTTTTTCATTCTTCACAGAACTACTTCAGTTGCTTTTTGTACGTAGAACCGAGTGCAGCGCCGCAAACCTTTTTCCCAATTTTAACGATTATCAAACGTCTCTCCTCTCTAAGACAGGCTTTTCCCTTGTCTTTAAATGTTTCATTCATAACAGGTAGACATACTTCAGCCTTCTTTGGAAGTGGTCCAACAACTCTACCTATGCCAGTTTGTTTCAAGTATACCACAGCCTGCAGCGCTAAGCACATTCATTGCTAGTGAAGATGTACATCTTTAAAAGCAGGCGAGGAATATATACTGTCTTTTCTATATTTTTTTTTAAGGCTGACTAATTTCAGTTATACAGCTGGGCATTATGGTTTCCAGGAAATGTTACTCAAAGAGGAGTGCATTTGTTGGGGACTATTTTCAGTCGTAGATGGATACAAATACTCATGTGTGGTAGTGTGTATTTACTATAGCAGAATTGTGCATGCAATATTGACCGGAAATATACTACAATGCCCATTGCTTATTTGTAATGAAGAAACATGTTGCCCATTGCAACACTGTGGCTCTTTGATATGTTTTTAATCATTTTGGACAACAGTGGAGGTCTATGGAACAGAAGAATAAGGCGTATTGCGCTCTAGATACACAGACAACAATGGAGATCAGTTAACTACTGGTTTTAGTCTTAATATGTGGCATTTGTAGTATCAGTGTTTGCTTAGAAGCAGGGCAAAACATCCATCCATCCATTCCTTTTCAACCGCTAATCCAAAGCCATGTCGTGGGGGGCAGCAGGCTGAGCAAAGTATTCCGGACGCCCTTCTCCCCAGCAACGCTTTCTAGCTCTTCCTGGGGGATCCCAAGGTGTTCCCAAGCCAGATGAGATATGTAATCCCTCCAGCGTGTTCTGGGTCTGCCCCAGGGCCTCCTACCAGTTGGACATGCCTGGAACACCCATAACAGGAGGCACCCAGGAGGCATCCTGATCAGATACTTGAACCACCTCAACTGACCCCTTTCGATGCAAAGGAGCAGCGGCTCTACTCTGAGCTCCCTCCGGATGTCCAAGCTCCTTCCCGAACTGTAAGGCTGAGCCCAGCCACCCTTCGAACGAAACTCATTTTGGCTGCTTGTAGCCCCAACCTCATTCTTTTGGTCACTACCCAGAGCTCATGACCGTAGGTGAGGGTTAGGACATAGATGGACCAGTAAACCGAAAGCTTTGCCTTCTGGCTCAGCTCCCTCTTCACCACGACAGTCTGGCACAGCGCCTGCATCACTGCAGATGCCATGCTAAACCGCAGATCAATCTCACACTCCATTCTATCCTCACTTGTGAACAAGAACCCAAGATACTTGAACTCCCTTGTTTGGGGCAGCAACTCACGCCCAATCCACCGGTTTCCAGCAGAGATCCATGGCCTTGGATTTAGAGGTGCTGACACTCATCCCAACCGCTTCTCACTTGGCTGCAAACCGCCCTAGTGCATGCTGGAGGACACGGATAGATAAACATCATATGATATGTTTTTTCCTTTAACACAAGAGACTTTGATATTACCTAATGAGTTGTGGGTCTAACACTGAAACTGAAGAAAAAAACATGCACTAATGAGTGACATTTCGCCAAAGAAGAAGTGCTTAAAGCCCGGTTTGTTAAAATGCAGGTTATGGTTGTAGGACTTCGGTTGGACCCCAGACAGCAAAGCTCACTCGTATATTTTAATGATCTTGGCTCTCTAAACGAGGGGCTGTATTCATTGTGCGGCCCAGAGATTTAAAGCCAACCCTTCTTTTTAAAATTAGTCTGAGCCCGCAATCTCTTGCACACAAGACTAGATTGCATTTGATCCGTCAGTACTCAAAGGAGCGATGGATAGATTTGTAGTGATATAACATATGGTGTGGCTTCATCACTGAGCAGCATAATTACCTTTCGTGTTGTGTTTACACTGACTGACTTCAAAGTCTTTGTTTATTTTGTAGGAATATATGTTTTCCAAATCCTGTGCATCTTATTAAATGCTGCATTATGCAGAGCATATCCCTTGAAACCATTATTTCTGCACACATTGCTTTGATACACGTACAGTACTGCTTTGAAGCTAAAAGCTCTCTCTCCTCTGTCCCTCACTCCTTACATCCCTTGCTCCCTCTCTTGCTTTCTACCTCATCTGTTTTCCACTTTACCCTCTGCCTTCTCTGTTATCCTCTTCATCTCACTAACTCTTCCCTCTCTCTTGTTTCCTCAGTCGGGCGTTTGTTGATCGAGTTCAGCTCCCAGATGACGATGGAACGAGTGCAGAAAGAAAACCCCAACGTGACGGAAGGAGGCCGCTACACGCCTCCTGACTGTCGGCCACGATGGAAGGTCTGTTTATACTTCTCTCGGTTTTAAAGGGACAGTTCACCCCAAAATCAAAAGCACATAGTTTTGCTCTTAGGGTGCTTTCATCCCTCTTCTGTTTGGTTCAGTTCAATCGACTCAAGTTCGTTTGCCCCCTAAGTGCATTTTGTTTGGGCAGGTGTGAACACAGCAATCGCACTCAGGTGCACACCAGATCAACCAGACTGAGACCTTCTTGAAGAGGTGGTCTCAGTCTGGTTCCAAACAAACTTTGGTGTGGTTTGTTTGTGGTGAGAACGTGTTCTGACCTTGATTGGAGGGCACTGTTTTCTTTCTACCGAAGTTTACCTACCAACTGTATCACTGTGCAGAAGGAAGCGTGCATCTACTGCTACCTCACCTAGCACCACTGAGCTAACTCCGTAACAGCTTAGCAGAGGAGGACGTCATTAATGTTTACATCTTGGGCTGTCATGAGCACCAGCCTCTCATCCATGAGTAGATGCACTTTTCCTTCTGTGTGGTGATACAGTTGGCAGGTGTAGTTTGGCAAAAAGAAAATGGGAAGAGAGAAGGAAAAAAGTACGCACTCTCACACATTTTATACAAGTTATGCATGATAACAATTTTAATGTTTGTAGGAAGTCAAAATTATGAGACTATTAGTTAAAGTTTGAGTCAGTTCTTCAAAATTATGACATAGTAAGTCAGAGTTATGAGATAGTTAATTAAAAACATGAAATAGTCATTAAAAATTAGAAAAATAAGTGAGTAAAAGGTATAAAATAGTAAAGATGATGATTTAGTCAGCTTTAAGTTTAAGTAACTGGCTGCTTTCATCTTACTATCTCTTATGTTTAGTCACAAGTGGTTTTATAATTCATATTTTTCATTTTAATTTGATATATGTTTCTTTTTCCTGGCAGAAATGCAGCTTTTTATCATAGTACTGGATCTAAGAAAAGCCAACCAGAAGTTCAGTCATAGTCATACTTAGTCATAGTCAAACACAGTATAGTCCATTAAAGTGTTTTAAGTATTTCTCCTCCTCATCATACTTCACTGAGGTCAGGGTGACACTTTAAGTAATGAAGATAACACCAATCACCTGCCACAATGCCTAACTATACAGAAACCAAGGTCAGTTTGCTGTCAGTCTTCATCTGAGTGCAAAATTACCATGAACTTACACGGTAAATTACAGCTCAACCTTGGACTGTTTGGACAGCTGAGAACGACTCACTTAAAGCACAGAGATGGAGGACGGCCTCAAATCTGTGATGCCATTGAGAGCTCCTTCCTTGAGCTGCTTCATTCATAATGAATGAGAACCAACTTTATGTGCACTGTGACATTAACCTGGGGGATTTTCTACGGAAATGATTTTCTGCTGCAGAACAGTTCACCGTGGGCTGAAGCAAAGCTCATTTATGCATAATTACTCAAACAAACACTCTGCGGAGATGTGAAAGAGAAAGACTGTTTCATAATCTTTGTCCATGTCAACAGAAGAGTTTCAGATAATGCACCATGACTGTTTATACTTGTTCTTTGTTTTCTTTACCTGCATTGACTTAGTTATGCATTTGAATAGTTCTCCAACTGATAGAAATTATAGTTAATGTTCCAGCTGCAGTAGTGAAAGAAGTGTTTGCATAATTCATTTCAGTAACGGCGGCAATACCACAGGACAAAAATTCAACATTAATAGTAAAAGTCCTGCATTTCAAAGAATCTATCATTATTATTGATGTATTATTTTTGCAAGCAGAAGGTGGAGCTAATTTGAACTACTTCATATACCAACCCAATCACAAGAATAAATGTTGATGTTATATGTTTCTGCAAACCACGGATATATAACATTTTTACCTTACTAGTGGGATAGTCCATACACATTGAGTACAGCATACCATACCATGACTTAGTCATACCAAAAATTAGAGAGAAAACAAACATTGGGCCACAGGGGGAGCCACAGCGATCGGTCGCATTTTAGCCATTTTTAAGCATTCTTCTGTTGTTATAGCGCCACCCAGTTGCCAATTAGAGTTAAATTTCTCCAGTCACCTTGAGGCATCCTGTTCTACATATCCACCAAGTTTAGTAAAAGTCGATGTGGCGGTTAGGCCTAGATGAGAAATTAGCTCTCTAGCGCCCCCATTTTGTTTGATGGGGTCAATAATGGAGGGGTCCCCTCAGATTATGTGTGGTCATATGCCTACAAAGTTGCGTGGTGATCGGTGAAACCCTTGAGATGTAAGAGATGGAACTTTAGATATTGGTCCCTAGATTATGTTCACCGAGTTTCATGCAGATTGGTCAAACTTCCTAGGAAGAGATCGATTTTAAGTGTTTTTCAAAAAAATCAAAATGGCGCAAAATCTGTATAAATGGAAGTTATTGGTTCTTGAGGCAAATGTGTTCCTCATGAGGAGAGGCATCTCTGTGCAAAGTTTCATGTCTCTACCACATAGAGGGCATGAGATATGCCCATTCAAAGTTTGAAATTTCAGTTGGTTGTTATAGTGCCCCCCTTTGGCCAATTGATGTAATATTGCTTCATTCGCATCCTCCCATGATCCTCTACCACTGTGCCAAATTTCACACGGATTGACCAAGTCAGTGAGGAGAAAAACGTGGAACAGGCACACCCATTGACACACAGACAGAGTTTTCGTCATTAGATAGTAAGATATGTTGAAATTTAGTTTCTTTACGTTTCAACAACACTGTGGTTAACGTGTGGTTATGTTTAGGCACAAAAAACACTTACTGTTATGGTGAAGAAAAGATAATGTTTTGGCTTTATATAACTATATATATGTATCTATGTTATTATAAACGTACAAATTAAATATATCCGGGGCTGGGCTGCATATACTTTTAGTAGTTTAATCTTAAATAACGTAATGGAGGAAAAAGCACAATATTTCCCTCTGAAATGTTGCAAAGTAGAAGTATACAGCTTCATAAAATGGAAATACTTCTGTAAAGTACCAGTACCTCAACATTGTATGTAAGTATACTTATGTAAATGCACCCAGTTACTTTGCACGGCTGTCCTGTTTGATACAAACAAATAACCAACAGAAACTGTCCCTGTTGTTCAGGTGGCCATCATCATCCCATTCCGTCACAGAGAAAACCACCTAAAATACTGGCTCCACTACCTCCACCCTATCCTCAGAAGGCAGAAGATTGACTACGGCATCTACATCATCAACCAGGTAGGCCGGTTTGTTCAAGTTCTGTTTTTTGTGGTTGCGGTCTCGAGGTCGAGCTTCAACAAAATTGACACCTCAATGTAAATATGGGAGAGATTCTCTTGTTAAGGATTTGTGAGTGTTCACGTCATCAAGGCTGTTATATTATTTCACAGTTGGTCATGTGTGTGTGGGTGGAATGAAATACTTAATATTCGATATTACACCATATCCATTGAATCTGAGTTTAATTCATAGACTGTAAAAAATAATGGACGTAGCTACTGTGACATCACCCATTGGTTTCGATGCCTCAAATCTGGCACTTCAGCCGTCATCATCTTGGATTTTTGGAGCCAGAAGTGACTCCAGGTTACCATAATTGGCAGAGAGGGTGGAACTGTGGAGGAGTGAGGGCTGGATCTGACTCAGAGACTGTGTTGAAGTCCCAAAGACAGTATGTCACTCAGTGACAGCCACAGTGAGTTAAAAAAAAAAAAAAAAATACCTGTACAGTTGTCATGAACGTGGAAAGAAGCTTTAGACGAGACCAAAACTGTTTTATGTACCGGGGTGTAAACATGTTTATTTCTGCTGTAAAGCTGGGTATTTTAACATGGGGGTGTAGGAGATTGACTTGCTTCTGGAGCTAGCCTCATGTAGCCATTCAAGGAACTGCAGTTTTTGGCACTTCCACATTGGCTTCATTTTTCAGCCCCATATGTTGTCGATAGGTTTAAGTACATTGAACTTTGGTCTCTGGCTGATGCCAAATACTTCTTTATGCTTAACCACCAAGTTGGATAGGCTTTATTGGAGCTTTCAGAAAAAGCTGTAGTGGAAGTTGACATGAATGCAATTTAGAAGTCGGAAACTCATAATTACGAACACTTGAGTAAGACCCAAATGCAGCAATTATATATCTGTGTCTCTGAGTTGCTGACAGCCAAATAGAGAATGGAAGTGATAATGTGGGCCTGGAAATATGAGCCTATTGCTATTCTCTGCACCTTACATAATTGATTCATTTTTAATAAACATTTTTCCAGAGGTCAAGGTGACGTATACAAATCACCAGTTAATCACAAATCAACAGTCCCAAACGTTAAGTTTTTGAATGATATAAAACTGAGAAATGTTGGTGTTTGAAAAGCTGAGATCTGTGAACTTGGGCATTTTAATTTGATAAATGACATTACCACTTAATCATTGAAACCTTCTGGCAATTGACTAATCAATTGACTGCCTAACACTACTAAGATCTCAGCTTCAGTTCACAGAGAATTTGAAACTATTGAATCACCTCCAAACCTCTGTGTTACAGGTCAGGTAAAAGGCTGCAGGATATCTTGTTGCAAACTTAAATCACTATATGACAAGAGTTAGACCTGAAATAAATCTATCAGCTCATGTTAAGTTCTAAGCTTTGCCACCGTCAGGTATTTTAATTCATTAATATGGTGGAAAAAGTCTATTACTTAGCACAAGTCAATTTGCAGGTGCATAAACCCCTAAAGGCTGCACTCCCCCTTCTCTCATCATCTCTGACTGCTTTTCATTGACTGTTTCTTCTTCTGACAAAAACCCATCTGCAGTGAAAATCAGCAACATATTTACTTTCATTGCTCTCAGTTCAGCCGAAGCACAAGGAGCTTGATTTTCTAAGCAAAGTTGTTGAGAGTGTGTGTGAGGCTTTCACGCTGTGTTGGGTGAGACTTATTCTTCTTCTACATTATGTGTAATGAGCTCTCCTTTCTGCCCTTTTTTCTCCCCTGTGGGCCTCGCACAACGCCTTAATCACTCCCCCTGTGGAACAGACCTTTGGTTCCGCCTGCCCTGCTGTTCCCCGCACTTGATATGGCGATGTTCCAGTGTCTTACTCTCTCGCTTTTACACTTTTGCACACACACACATAAACACACATGTTTTCTGTGGGCTCGTCAAATGTAAAGCTGTTAGGGAGGGTAAGGTTTGTGTAGGGCTGTTAGAGAAGGTGCAAGTTCTTCAACTTGCACCCTCACTTTCCTTTCCCTTTCCTCTAAGAATGGGCTTCGCTCAGCTCTCAATGAAATTTCCATCACCGCTACAACACACCATGTGGTTTTAATCTGACATAAGACTGGTATTGTTTTCATTTTATCTCTGCTCTGAACCTCTGTGAAGGTTCTACAAAAGTCAAAATGGTAACAACCTCTATAAACTTACATCAAAATGCACATGAAAGTAACTTAATATCAAAATATCTAAGTGCTTAAATAGGAAAATATCAAAATAATTAAGCACTGCAGTCAGCTAAAACCAAGCAAATTAAAGGTCTACTATGCAGGAGTTCTCGATTACTGTTTGGGAACATGCTTGCCAGTGAAAGTCAAGATGAAAGCCAACCCCAGATTCACCCCTGTTTTGGAAGCTGTGTCCGCTTGGCGTATCGCCTCGCTATATTTGCCTGTTTTTGGTGCTGTGTCCACGATTTTTTAAGCTTCCTCTTGGATGCACGCTTATGGTCTGGCACCTGGTTGCTTTTTTCATAAAGTCTGGACCTCACCTGAGCGCTGTGCCCAGAAACTTCCCTTAAATAGCAAAACAGGAAGACAATAAGAAAGTACAGGTAGTGGGCAGGGTCTCTGCAGATAAATACTCAATTAAAGTAGAATACCATACAATAGAATAAGACAGAAACTGTAAAATTAACAAATGAAGTACATAAACTCAATTTACAAACATAATAAGGATTTTTTATTGATTTAAAAGACTGAGTCTTTCTGAAGACTGCATCTCTTAAGTTCTCTTTAAATAAGATTATGATTTAAAACATTGTAGTTTGGTAGTTTGAGGAACCATATAAGACAAGTCTCCTCTTGCTTTTGGCCCTTTTCCAATGAATCAAAGTCAGTTTCACAGTGTTGGAACAGGAGATTAAATGCTCAGTCCGTCAGCTGATGGACAGTCCACTTATTAAGCAAGCTGCCTCGAACTTCGTGTATCTTGTGTTGTATTTTTTTCCTACCCACAAAAGTCTTTATGTAATGTCACACCACGAGGTAATCTGATTTCACAGTTGACAGCAGCGTCTGTAGAGCTGCCGCTGTTGCATCTTCAACTCTTTCACCTGCACTTCAAACAGATACTGATCCACTGCCTGGCTGTAATTATCTGGAAAACTGTCAAAATCTACTCCACTCTATGATTTAGAGGTTGAGAGAGGGCTTTGTTTGAAGTGGAAATTATTCTTGTGTATTTTTAAATGTATTTGAACTTGTTGAGATTCTTAAAACCAAATATACACTCTCTCATTGTGTAGTGGGGTTAATTTCTGTTTCCTGTTTTTGGATGATTTTGAACTGACCCAAAGATATAAATACCACAGCTGGAGGCATCTACTTCACTTCCACTACAAGTGATAATGACTGCAGAGAGTGCCTCTCTTTAAACTCTTACAGACTGCTTCCAAAAAGGACTGACTCATCAGCAACTGCTTCAGAGTACAAAAAAGAAAAAAAAAAAAAAACTTTTGGTTTTTACTTGATGGATATTTGAATTTCACACTAATTGGTTAGGAAGGACATCTCGAGGTTATGCGTCTTTTATTCAGCAGTTACTCATCTAATATTATCATTGTGTAATTTTGCAATAATCTCCGAATCTGAGGACTTTTATACCCAGGATTTGTGTTAGAATCGAGCTCTGGACAAATACTTTCTCCTGATTGGTCTGAAAAGTTAGGTAGTTTGAAAACCATGCAGTTGTTTTAATGCTAATGAATGACAAAAAATTACCAAATAGAACCACTATCCGCACCAATAATAGCTGCAAGTGGTTTTGCTTATGCTAACATTAATATGCTAATATTAAAAGTTTGATGGCCCCCAGATTGCACCTGGAGGCATCCCTAGCTGTTTCCTGATAATGAACAAATAAGAAATACAGGGGAACATATTAAAATACACCCAGTGGTCTTGCATTGTTTTAGAATATTTTGTTGACTGTCTCTGTGTTTCAAACCTCAATCCTACCTGGATTTCATTTGGAGAGGTCAGGCAGGACACACAGATACTCAAAATGCCAGCCAAGCTGACAGGAAGCCCCAAAAACAGACAGTGACGCAGAACGACTACAAACAAGACCGACAAGCAGGCAGATTGAGAGGAGCTGAATCAAAGCGACAGAGGTGGGATTTTGATGACAAGATGTCCTGATGGGCGATTAAACCTTTACACCTGCCGCCACTTTCCGCGAGGATGGCGGAGAGCACCTTTCCATCGTGCTCGCTCAAGTGTTAAATGAATGGAAGTCTGGAACCTTTTAACACAGAGCCACTGGAGGGGGATCAGGGTGAGGGGGGGTGAACAGTGATAATTTTCCCCCGTCAAGTCTCATCCTTGCTAACAGATAATGGCTGGCGTGTCCTTAGAGTCAAAACAGTTGTTACGTGGGCAAAAAGGCCTCTTGGAGATAAAAAAAAAAGCACAACCAAAGATACAAGTCAAATCCCCCTCTGACCTGGGCTGCTCCCTGGCCAGTGATTATTTGGCTATAGATGATGATTGTCATTTTGATGTCATGAGATTAAATTTGTACTAAACAAAAACAAAAAACTGAGCATAGAGAGTCATGCTCCGCCCTCCAAACATATGTTTCTAATAAAATATTTGTGACTTCAGTCCCTGCCCTCTGACTCTGTTAAGAAAGGTCTTAATCATTGAACAGAGAAATATACTACCTTTGTTATCACATGAAAGAGGCTGCAACTAATTTCATCTTTCTTGATAATCAATTAAAGGTCCAGTGTGTAGGATTTAGGGGGATATATTGGCAGACATGGGATTATAATATTCATAACCATGTGTTTATTTGTGTATGATCATCTTTAAATAAGAATCATGTTTTCTTTACCTTAGAATCAGCCATTTATGTACGGAGCGGGTCCTCTTCCATGGAGTCCGCCATCTTGTTTCTACAGTAGCCCAGAACAGTAAAACCAAACACCAGCTCTACATAGAGCCTTTGCATTTTTGCATCAAACG